GTAGTAGCATCACTCAATTTTGTATTCTAATTTTTTTTCTGGGGCTAGCTATTTTAAACATTTTCAAATTTAAAAAGCTAGCATTTCTTATAGGTAGAGATTATAAGAAAAAATATGTTTTTGTATAGGTAGCTGTCAAGTCTTGTGAGGGAAACATCACAGCACAGAAAACTCATTTTATGAGTATGCTTGGTGATGGGTTTTCTGGTGAGCTTGTGGCCACAAGAATAGCAAACCTAATCATAATCAGCCTCCCTTAGATGCTAAATGTGCTGACAATGTTGTCATACAGAGCATAAAAGTAACTTTTTAAGAATTGTCACCAAAGACAGAATAGCATAATTAAAAATATCTTTTTCCTGAATGTAGATGATTGTCTTTTGAAATATGTGCATGTACTGGCTCACTGCTGTCATTTGTAGCAATAGAATCTTGAGGTTACCTACGTAAATCGCAGAAAATTCCAACCAAACTAATAAAGGGTATTTGGTTTGTAATTTATTTTAATACTCTGTCAACTTGTACGTAATTAATTTAGAGGTTTGTCTGGAGGAAAATCACCCCATAACAATGGTTAATCTTCCCCTACTCATAAAATTACTGACTCCTTGTGAAATCTTACGCATGTCTATGTTGGTGGGTGCAGACAAACAAAGTCCTTCATGGTTTGAGATAGTGGCCAGTTGTCAATCTGCATTGGTCCCTGTATTGGTAGTGTATGACCTGTGAGCTGATAAACCCTGAAATAAGGCTTGATTTCCCCAAAGGACCTGATATCCTGAGCACAGGGCCACGTTAGTATGGGTGTATAATGTTTGGCTTGTGTCTGGCCAGTTGATAACGGGCAGAGAATGACCTTGAACTTCTCTTAACTTTTCTCTGTGGGTAGACATTAATGTCATGTCTAATATTCGCCTGTGTGAACCTCATGAAGTTTAGCAAGGTGAAGTGCAAGGTCCTGCACCTGGGTCGGGGCAATCCCCAGTATCAGTACAGACTGGGTAATGAGGGATCTGGACAGGCTTGATGGGCTGAGGCCAACTGTTTGAGGTTCAACAAGGCCAAGTGCCGGGTCCTGTACTTGGGTCACAACAACCCCATGCCACGCTACAGGCTTGGGGAAGAGTGGCTGGGAAGCTGCCTGGCTGAAAAGGACCTGGGGGTGCTGGTTGACAGCCGGCTGAACATGAGTCAGCAGTGTGCCCAGGTGGCCAAGAAGGCCAACAGCATCCTGGCTTGTGTCAGGAATAGTGTGGCCAGCAGGAGCAGGGAGGTGATTGTCCCCGTGTACTCGGCACTGGTGAGGCCGTACCTGGAATACTGTGTCCAGTTTTGGGCCCCTCAGTACAAGAAAGACATTGAGGTGCTGGAGCGTGTTCAGAGATGGGCAATAAAGCTGGTGAAGGGTCTGGAGCACAGGCCTTATGAGGAGTGGCTGAGGGAACTGGGGTGGTTTAGCCTGGAGAAGAGGAGGCTGAGGGGAGACCTTATTGCTCTCTACAACTACGTGAAAGGAGGTTGTAGTGAGGTGGGTGTTGGTCTCTTCTCCCAGGTAAGAAGTGCTAGGACAAGAGGAAATGGCCTCAAGTTGCGTCAGGGGAGGTTTAGATTGGATACTGGGAAAAATTTCTTCACCAAAAAGGTTGTTAGGCATTGGAACAGGCTGCCCAGGGAAGTGGTTGAGTCCCCATCCCTGAAGGTGTTCAAAAGACGTGTAGAAATGGCACTTAGGGATATCGTTTAATGGTGGACTCGTCAGTGCTAGGTTAACGGTTGGACTTGATGATCTTAAAGGTCTTTTCTAATCTAAACAATTCTATGATTCTATGAATGGATTGAGAGCAGCCCTGTGGAGAAGGAATTGAGGATACTGGTGGATGAAAAACTGGACATGAGCCAGCAATGTGCGCTTGCATCCCAGAAAGCCAGTTCTGTCCTGGGCTGCATCAAAAGAAGCGTGGCCAGCAGGTCAAGGGATGTGATTCTGCCCTTCTACTCCGCTGTGGTGAGACCCCACCTGGAGTACTGCGTCCAGCTCTAGGGTCCCCAGCTCGAGAAAGACATGGACTTGTTGGAGTGGGTCCAGAGGAGGGCCACAAAAATGATCCAAGGCCTGGAAGAACCTCTCCCATGAAGAAATGCTTAGAGAGTTGAGGTTGTTCAGTCTGGAGAAGGGTCCAGGGAGACCTTTGTGTGACCTTTTGATACCTAAAGGGGGCTTATAAGAAATATGGACAGAGACTACTTATGAGGGCCCGTACTGACAGGGCAAAGGGTAATGATTTTAAACTGTAAGAGGGTAGGTTTACTTTGGGCATAAGGAAGAAAAGTTTTACGATGAGGGTGGTGAGACACTGGAACAGGTTGCCCAGAGAAGTTATGGATGCCCCATAATTGGATGTTTTCAATGTCAGGTTGGATGGGGCTTTGATTAGCCTGATCTAGTGAATGATGTCCCTGCCCATGCAGCAGGGTTGGAAGTAGATGATCTTTAAAGGTCCCTTCCAATGCAAACCATTCTGTGATTCTTGGAACTTTTATGGTTTTTATGAAGTGCTTGTGGGTTGTTTCAAAAGTGTCCGTCAGGTGTATCTAATCTGATTACTGAGATCAGATATCTGGACTTGGTCACATTCTATTCCAGTCCTCAAAATGATTAGCTGGCAGTGCCAGAATCATTTGCAGAGGTAGTGCTACTTGGTTCTTGGTTTTTTTTTTTTTTTTTTTTTTTTTTTTAAAGAGGTATCTGCCAAAGCTACAGAGTGTAAGTACATGAGCTTCAAGCAACAGTAAATGAAAAACATATGAATAATGAATTCCCAAGATTACAGCAAGCAAATGAATGTTGGTTTAGTGATTTTTACACCACTGAGTAATCCACTTACAGGCAATTTATTTATTTGCAGTCTCCTGCACAATTTTTTATAGTTATTGAGATGGTGAAAAGTACTTTATATTAGGGATTGTCCATAACTGACATGAAAATATCACTGAATCTTGTTTTAGTAAGTGCTAGTCTGCCTTTTTAAATATATACAGTATTGATTGAAAAATTGTTTTTTCTGCCTATTAATGCTGAAAGGGACAGTTAGCTATAGCTGTTCTAATTGGAACAAGCTGACAGTCATCTGTAGCAAAGCAGACAGTGTGGCTTGATGTACCCATTAGTGAGTTGATCAAGAGACGCAGTTTGTAAGCTTGACAAACTTTTTTTCTTCCCTCTCTGAAGGGGACTGAAATAACTGAATAATAATAAGTAATATTTATGACTACAGATGCAAGGAACACTTAACAGCAGAAAAGGGTGGCTCTCGAAAAGGCATTACAGCTGTGTGGTTTTGTGTGATAAAAACATTCTTTGATCTCAAATGTGTTTTTTTTTTCATTTAGGCATCTCAAATTTTTATTTGAATCTGAAGTGAATTTCTCTATTAGTTCAAAGTTTGAGTCCATGTAAATACGGACTAAATTCTTCCCGTTAGAGTGAAATGAAACAGGTGAAATAAGAACAAAAGTGGTAGAATGGGTGCAGTATTTTGTAACAGAACTGGAGATTTAAGAAAACTATTAAAAAACCATGAAATAAAGATGAAAACCACTCCAATTTTTATTTGAATGTTTTGTTGTTTTTGGTTTTTGTGTGTGGCAATAAAAATAGACCCACATACTACTATCAGAACTTGGAGGACTTTGAAGGAGTGTGAAGATAAAGGTGAGTGGATCTTGTTGAAAGATCAAATTGCTTGTTATTAGGCTAACTACATGTGCTCTGTTTTGATGTCTGGTAGTTCATGTTGTTCTTTGTAGTATCAGAGGAAAGATACAGAACTACCAACTTATTTTAAAATGTTATGCACCTTTCTAACGCGTCTAATCAAAGGTGCTGAATCTGATTTCATTTTTCTTTTTTTTTTGGGGGGGAGACATCATTCTTAAAGCAAAATATTTATTTTAACCACTGACAGAATCTTTGAAGTAAAGAGACTTTAAAACAAGAGTCTGTTTATGTCCATTTTACACCCTGCATCGGTGTCCGATTGGTGACTTAGGCAAATCTAACTGCTGTGCATATGTGTGCCTGCAGGTTCTTAACTCATGATTTAGCTGCACAGAAGGAAAAGTCTCTTCACCTGAAATGTGAAGGGTGTCTTTTAAACCTTTCACAGTTGTCTGGGGGTTTTTTTGTTTTGTTTTGTTTTTTTCACCAGGCCTTGGTCTTATTTGCTAATAACTCTTGAGGTGTTTTTCTCCAGTTGTTTTTCTTTTGAAACCAATCCAATAAGATCACAGAACACAAATCTCAAAGGCCATCTCTGTATATATTAAAGATTATTAGTGACTTCCTCCATTTCTGATACACAACTCTGAAAAGAGCATCAATTTCAGGTTCTTTTCCTTGGAACATCAGCACTTATTGAGTATTTTCATTCAAATGTAGGTAACTGTTCAAATGTAGATAACAGTATGAGAACAGATAGTAAATTAATCAAGATTAAACTAATCTTGCATAATTTCAACCGTACAAGCTCCAAAATGGTGACAACTGTTAAAACTTACTTTGAAAGCCCAGGTATGAGACTTCACAATATAAAATCACTCCATCTGTACATTGATATCTTTGGATGTGAAGTACTGGAAGTAGCTTTCTGGTAAAATCTGAGGTATTTCAGAGTCCTCTGAAATAAGCCAGCATAAGCCACTGGTGAGAGATTGGTACTACCCTATGCGCACTATGAATCTATAGACTACAAGGCTCAGTATTCCTCCGTATTTTTTAAAAACACCACTTTGACCTTTTTCGTGTCTGTGTAGTGCATATTAACAAGATGATGCTGTAGCTTTATTTTTTCCCCATTTTGTAAGCATACTTGTTATTATATATAGTATATATATAATATAGCATGTATATATAGTGTATATATATTATATACTTAAGCATACTTGTTAAATATGTTTGTTTTCCTTGTTCAGGTTTGCAGTCTGTGACAGCTTCTGTTGTTATGGCTGTGTATGTGGATCATCGAACAGAAGCTCCCGATTCAGTTGCCTCCCCTTCTCATATAGCATGGCACCCACTTCATCCACTCCTGGCAGTTGCTTCTATCAGCACAGCATCTGGTGGATGTGTGGATATCTATCTGGAACAGGTGAATAATCAGCAACTTTTCTTTTGGGCTTGATACAATTTTGCTAGTTCGAAATTTCACTTTTTCAGATATATATATTTGCAGCCTTACTTATGCTTCTTGAATCCCTCTCTCTGGATTTTAATTACTATCCATGTCCTGTGCTATCTAGGGCATGTGAGATTCATCAGCTACTGATTACATGTATTTTATAAAAAGGTCTTCATAAATTAAATTGATCTTTCCCTTGAAATTTAATTTTTACAGCCTTTCAGTCTTGTTTGTGATGGCTACCGATTTGCTTTTCACTTCTCATAGCATGAGAATTTCAGGCTCAGAAGTAAAATGGACACATGCTGCTGCTTTTTTTTTAACTCTAAATGAATAAAATGTACTAAGAAAGGTAAATAAAAAAAAATCATTCCTCCACCTTGAGGCTGAGCTGCTTGCTAGACTCAGCTTGTTCCATTTGAGTAGGCTGTTTCCTAGTACAGTTTCTGCCTGTAGACAGATATTTCCTATGCATACTCTAAACTTTACACAAGAAGCTTGCGTAGGACTTTGGTTTGCATAATTTTCAGGAAAAGTGTGCTATCTAGGGAAATGGTACTACAAGCTATCTAGCAGCAGATGTACTGGAAATGTTTAAGTCTGTTAATACGAGTAGCCTATAAAATGTATACTTTCAAAAGTGCGTTATGAAGAACTGTCATCCAAATTTTACAAATAGAAAAATAAATACATAGAGAGGTTAAACAATTTGCCTGAAATATTATTGCAAACCATGCACAAAGGAGTGTCTACATTTAAGAGCTGTTTAAGCATTGGTTTATTCTGTGTCCTCAGGTGCTTCTTTTTTAGAAGTTGGGGTTTTTTAACTTGAAATGTGCTCGAACCTTCTTATCCTTCATACAGGAGTAAAAGCTTGATACTCAGTGAGAGCTGCTCGTGTATGCTGTGAGGGAAGAATAGCTTGGAAAAGCAGAGTGAGGCAGTCACTTAACACTGCTGTGTTTTCATTAGCAATTTTCAAGTGGATGTACTGCATGTTGTAGCACATTTTTATGCATGTGAAATAGCTGTAAAGAGAATTTGTGTAGCCACTTCATATGTCTTGCAGGAAGCTCTATTACATGCCAGTCCTTTTTCACAGAAAAATACCTGGTTGACTGGGAAGCAAATCTGAAGGTTTAGCTGCATCCTTGTACTGAGTTTCCGTTGTACTGAGCTTGTACTTTATTTCCATTTGCAGGGAGAACATGTGTCCGATGCACATGTTGAGAGAAGCTTTCAGGTCACATCGCTTTCCTGGCACCCTTCCAGACTTATTCTTGCAGCAGGCTGGGAGACAGGAGAAGTTGTGATACTTAACAAAGAAGACAAGGAGCACCATGCTGTACCACCAAATCATAACGCCAGAATTACAGTCCTAAACTGGAGTACAAATGGTACCCGCCTTGTGTCTGGTGATAGGGTGAGTAGTTGAAATGTGTGTTTGATGTGGAACATGGTGTTGCAGCCCTGTGGTGGGAAGGGATTATGCAATGGATTGGTAGGGGAAGAGATAGTTGCGGGGAAGGTAAGTTTCCTTGCTTTAGGTTTAAATTAAAACTGTTAGGAAGTAAAATCAAATCTCAGTGTGTTAACTTTTTCTACAGTACTCATTGCTGTTTTATCAATTTATCTTTAAATAAAAGTGTATCTAATCTCAGTACGGGCTGAGCAGTAGATTAAGGGTTAAGGCTATTTAATGGATGGGGTAATTGAGGTATAGACAATCTGAATTATTTGCTCCTGTCTATGCACGAATTTTGTGGCAGACTCAGGAAAGATGTCGAGAAACAAATTCTAGCTACAATATATTAATCTGTAGTGAATGCGTAGCAATGCTCACTTAAGTACAAAAAACCCATGCTAATCTCTCTTGTTCTGTTTTTATTAATGCTCTAAAAATGAGTCAAAGTTATTGTATGGAAAATATGTTTCGGAAGTACTTGAAATGTGACAGTCTTTATTTCTTGATGAGCGGGTTGCTCTTTTACATAGTGAAATGAGAAACAAGCTATTGAATATTTAGTACTCAGGATTAAGTATACACAGAAGATTCTGGTTTTGCCAGTTCTTGAGTCAGCAAATTAAAATAAAAAAGGTGTGTTTTTCTACATTTTACCTGATATAAACTTGAGCTTGTCCAAGAATTTCAGTTCTGCTCTTTAAGAATTGTTATCTGTATGAGTCAGAGGAAAACACAATTTTAAATCATTATTTGTGAAATTCTGTTGCTGCATTTGACAGAAATGGAGAAATTAAAAATTGAGTAAAAAATAAATTTATCCTTTTTATTAGAAAAGAGAAAATGCTGCCCAGACAAAAGAAGATGACCCACTGAGGCCTTATTTATATGGAGATAATATACTAATGTAGCCACAGCTTACATGAACCCTACATTTATGAACAAACTCTTTTCAAATTTATTTATTTGGTGTCAGATCACAGTAATGAAGTAATCTTAAAACAGATATAGCCATTCTTATAGGCAAATTTAACAGTTTTGTAGACTCATCCTAACTGCTCCTCTGATGAGAGTATTTGTAAGTAGAATAAGCAGTGGTTTCAAGGAAATACCTTAACATGACAAAACAAAGCGTATGCATGTGTTGACATGAACAGTCTTCAGTTTCACATAGTTTCAATTGCAGTAGTTGGAAAGACCAACGTCAATAGATGGAACAGCAGCACAACTCAGAAAAAGTCGTTTTTGCAAAATAGCTGTGGTGTTACCCTCTGCGGACATTGAAACGCACAGCTGAGCACAGTTCAAGGTGCTCCTTGGTCAATGAAATGTGGGTCCTTAAAAACCTGCAGCTGTGTGTGTAGAGGCCTTTTGAGCTAATCAGCCTTGCTAAGAGCCCAGGCTTGTTAGGCTGAGCATGCAGCTGGTTCAGCATCCTGTGGCTAGCTCCGATACGGTGTCTCTGCCCAGTACTGCAGTGGGTGGGCCCACTCATCCCTTGCGTTGCACACTCAGTGTCATTGTACCATGGTCTGATGTGCAGCATAGGTATGCTTCATTTCTTACATCTTTTCCAGTAGCTTTTAAATTTATTTTTAAAATGTTTCCCATGAAGGTTTATATTCAAGTAACTTCCATTAGGTGAGTGCTGCCAGGATCATACTCTGCTCATGTTAGAGGAATACCCTTAGAAAGTAGATAAATATTTGGGCCCTGATTTGGTTTCTGTTTGTTCTTCAAAGGGGCTTCATAACAGACTGCTCAGCTGAGAACATTCAGTCATCATAAATCCTGAGTTGCAAGAAAATTATTTGAAGATAACTTCCTAAAGTTGGAATAGGATGCTGTGAAAATCAGAAACTCTTAATTTGTGTTTTAAGTAACAAATAACATGGATGACTTCCAGGTTTTGATCACACAAAAGAATCCTAAGGATCTAGGTGCTTTCTATAATGAAAGCCTACTTATAAGGCAAATAACCTTTATAACAAGAAGCTAAAGCTTTGGGTTGTTAAGAATGATTAGGAAGATACAGGATACCTTAAGAGTAAATCTTATAGATGATAAGGTCAATGTCCTTTGTCCTTTTCAAATACAATTTGAAAAGAGACCAGTTCTGCATCCTTTCAATAACCAGTCTATAACCAGAAGAAGTGGTGAGCCTTTTTATTTCCAATCTCATGTGTTCCAAACTCAGAATTGAGTTTGCAACTAGGCTCTCTGGATAGAGGATGGGATATCTAGAACAGAATGGAAGGAAGGTCAGCAGCGTTATAAAGCTGCAGGCTTTTCCTCCGGCTTATAAATGGTGTGGGTGTTCTTAGTTGGGATCCCTGGAATTTGGGGACATTTAAAGCTGAGGGAAAAGTGAGAGGAGGAGCCGCCAACAGGACATGAACTTTCAGATCATAGGATCCTGTGGTTTCCAGAGGTAACCAGCAAACATTGTATGAACTGCAAGTAGCCTCTTGGAATGGGAGTACAGCAGTTTCACAGATGCACAGCTGTGTCACACTCTTTAGGCTGTAAGAGACAGCATTGCACTTAAATAGTTTTGGGTGGTATAAATATTATCATCTTACTGCTGAAAAGAAGTTAGAACTTTGATTCTTGATTCTTAGGAAAAAAAGAAGGAAATGTTGCCTTGGAAGCCCTCAGCTGCTCTCATGTGGCTTGTAGTTAGGATTGTGAGGAGTGTGTGTTTAGAGTGTACCACTGCTACTGGTCTTTCACTTCTAGAAAGACTATACATTGAAAACAATAAAGAAAAATAGAGCAAATTATAATACCACTGTATTGTTATCTATCTTAATGAAATAAAATGAGATTGAACTTGATATTGCAAGTTGTTGCTGGTTTTTTCATGTAATGCTTATACAGAGGGCCTCCAAATGCAATGTGGTTCCCTAAGCACTAACTTAACAGCAATAAATAATAATCTTAAAATTCCAGCTGTGAGGCTGTAGCGTAAGTCACTTTGTTGGGATGGTTAATGTGTATGTCATGCTGAACTGTCTTTTTGCTTCTCTGCCTTCTCCATTCTTTCCAGTCACCAGGGGTTTGGTGCTCATTCTGATCCAGCACCACAAAATGCATGTTATCTTCAGAACCTGTGCCAGGTTTTGAGGGCCAACTTATATTGACTACTGTTGAATTAATTAGTTAACCAGTCTTCCTTTCTTTAGTGTCTATGATTCTTCTAGTTACTAAGTTCTGTTTCTAAAAATGAATTCTTGTTGTACTTGAATGTCTGCTCTGAAAGAAGAGGAAACCTCCAGAAATTCTAAATTCTTTCCTTAGGTTATCTGCATCCTGTGACTTTACATGCGTCTAATCATGTACCCATGCTCATCTGTATCAGTATTACATGCACTTACTCGGGGATGCATTTCTTATGCTTTACTATCCTTTATCTCAATATCTTTTCTTTTAGCAGTCGACTACTTGCAAGAAAAAAGTGGAAAATTTGTTACCTAAACAAATATTTGCATATGCTACTTGCAGAGGAAAACCAAGGCTGTTCCATTTAATTGCTCTGGCAGTGTCATTTTACTAAGAATGGATATGGCCAACAAGCTTTTTTAGATAACTTGATTTAATTAGCAAATAATGTAATGTTAAAGACAATTTTTATTCCTTGTGGCTTAGTTTTAAGTGTGAATAATTGTTTGCGTCAGCTAAATGAAAGGAAGAGTGTTGCTCTGTCAATAAAATGTTTATTTTTATGTGCACTGAGTAGCTGGAGTCTGGATTCTCACCTGTGTGCAAAATGTAATGAATTAATTGTTGTCTTTTTTTAGCATGGTGTCTTGGTTCTATGGAGAATGGACCAGCGAGGCCGAGTGCAGGGTCCTGCCCTGCTGAAACAAGAGTATGGAAAATGTCTGTCTCACTGTGTCTTTCGACCACCCCCTCCTGGCGAGTAAGTATCGTGCCCCATTATAGCACTGGTAGACCAAGTCTTTCTCTTGTTCCACAGAAAGAAAACCCAATTCAGAGAGAAACCTTTTTTTAAACATATTAAAAAAAAAAAACAAACCACCAAACCTTCTTCTCCTAACTGTCCTTTATTTCCAAGTTCTTCTCCCACTCTAGTAGCTATTTGTGTCCTGTATGCAGCAACAAATCTTCTTCCTTTTGTCCATACCTTTCTCTCTGCTGCTGTTGACTCTTCTTCCTTTAGTTCTTGTAATTAGCAATGTTACTGATTGTGAAAAGCAAAAAGTACAATGAAAACGCAATTATTCATTAAATTATTGGCAAGAATAAGTAAATTAAAAGTCAGTTCTTAAATATTATTATTTCTCTCCTCTCCAAGCAAGAAATAGGAAACAGCTGTAGTAAAAAAAAATTAATTTTCCTTGTCTGGGCCACTTCTGTTGCACATATCTGTAAAAATAATAATGCTTATGGAAAAAAGGTTAAACAATGCAAATGAAAACTAGTATTAAAATTTTACTTTGTATCTTTTTGAGTTTGTCCTTTTTCCAATCAGTGTATGAAACATCTTTATTCTCTCTTTACAATATGTTTTACTAACTACTCATCCATTCTTTGAGATGAAAAGTACTCTGTTATGTAAGGAATTGGAAATTAAGTATCTCTGTCTTCAGGGACTTTGTACAACTGGCAAAAGCAGCTGTGGGTGGTGATGAGAAGGCCTTGGATATGTTTAACTGGAGAAAAGGTGGAACAGGAGTACCTCTGAAAATGGGACTCCAGGAAGGACTGTCCTTCTTTATCACTTTGACAGATGGTAAGAGCGAAACCACTTTTCCAGTCTGCTGAAAATTTGTCTCCTTAATGCTTCAAAATAGCTCAGTGCATGATAGTCCTGTTTTTGTATATCCAACATCTAGAGTATATCCATATATCCATCAAATTCATATATCCAACAGGATAGAGTATTCGTAGGAGCTGAAGAATGTTTGGTATGAAGAAATTAATAAAATTATTAAAATCTTAGCATCTTCAGGGTGAGTTGTCTCCAAAAGGACACCATAGGTATTGGATTAGTCAGGTTCCTGAAGAAGTCAGTATAAGGAAAGTGATCTCTAACACCTAAGTGTAAATAAAATTAGAAATTGTCAGCATTTTGTGCAAAGCTTCAAAATAATGCATGTGCTGTGTTTTTTTTTCCTAGAAATAGGCAAATGCTGCTAGAACATGCCTTTTAAAATAAATTAGTGATTTGCTTTTTCTCTCATGCTTTGAAATGAAGCTTCAGTCTAAGGAAGCAAAAAAGTCTAAATATCTGTTTTGTTGGTTTTCTTCCTAATACTGCTTCTTCCCTGCCATTTGTCTTTTCCTCTCCCTTTTACTGTTCTGGGTACTAGTTTGCTCCCAGTTCATTTTCTTCCTACCCCAGTTCTTCTCATGATGCCTTCTCTCTATCTAACCTGTTAGCTGTTTGGACAGGAGCCAGAATGTGTGTAACAAGTATTGTAATGAGTATGTTTCTGGTAGGTGATTCAAGTATGTAATCCTCTTGATTCAAGTGTTAACTACTCCGAAAAACATTTAGGTTATGCTAGTTCTGCGGCTCAATTACTGTTTGATTCAGTGTTTACATTATCAAGATTGAGACCCATCATTTACACCAGTGTAGCTTCCATATGATTGCAGGAGTGGCATTGTCCAGTTGTGTGTTTGTTTTGCAGAATAGCGGTCTGTACCTTCATTTGATTTGTGAGTTACAAGCCTCTTTGCTAGATATGAACCATTTAAATGAAAAAGGGGTACAGGGCACTTCTTAAGTGTACAAGGAGAGAATCTTTGAGTAGCTGTGCCCGTTACATCCTCACTTTCAAAGCAACTATTGTGGTGGTACACAGCTCCATCTAGGGACAAACTCTATATCCTGCAAGTGGCTGTCCACATCTTGTTTCTTGGGCCTCCTGTTCAATTCAAATTTCAGTCAAATGACTTTCTTTTGAGCAGCCTCATTGCCTAGGTTGATTTGGGCATATGTATTTTGGACCTAGTTCTTAATCTAGTTAGTGATCTGTCATAACTTCAGAATCAGTTAATGTTTTCGTAGGGTTTAAATGTGACCTGTAAGCTTCCTCTAAAGTAGGGATTCTCAGCCCAAACTTGTTTAATAAAAAAGAATTTAAAAACCCCCATTCTTATTGCATGCTTTTAAATATTTCAAAAGATGTTTGACTAAAGACAATAGAGCATCTTTTAAAGCAAAACTATTAACTATTAAAACAATTAAGAAAAGCCCAAAACAAAATGAAAAAACCTCCCAAGTTTCAAATGTTTATTAGTCTAGATATTTTTTGATGCTTCCAAAACACTGCAGTAAAACAATAGATGCAATTCAGGTAATATGTTACATGAGATGCTTATCTGAAGAGAGGATACCTGAACTGATAACAATTTTGGAGGTAGTTTTGCAACACTTTCCAACCTGAATAGTGGAAGTTCTCCTGATACTTTTACTGAATGCACCCTTGTTTATCTTCACTGCAGACATTTTAGATCATGAGTAATAATCGTCTTCTGGTCCCCTTTGTATTTCCTAAACAGCATACACTTTCTGCTGCTTTTTGTCTTTTGAATCTCAGAGTTATTTGCTCTACTTAATTAGCTCAGATTTGTTAACTTTTGAGATTAGTCTCTTGTGTGATACAGTATAAAAACTCTTAAAGTTACTCAGAAAGCTATAACCACCTAAGTAGCTTCAAAACAGCGGGTAGTGTTTTGTGTGTGGTACCTGATAATTTGTATGGTAATATCCAAGTATAGAAGGTTAATTTAACTTATGAAACAATTCCAGGTGGCAAATAAAGTCAAGGGACTGTCCATTTCTTGTAAAACTTCCCATAAAACTGAGATTCAGTAGATTATCAATTACTGCAATAAATACATACCTGTGTGATAGAAAATGCTACATTGGAGAACTATCCCAACAATCCCTGATATCAGTACAGACTGGGTGATGAAGGGATTGAGAGCAGCCCTTGAGATTGAGAAGGAATTGAGGATACTAGCGGATGAAAAACTGGACATGAGCTGGCAACGTGTGCTTGCAGCCCAGAAAGCCAGTTCTATCCTGGGCTGCATCAAAAGAAGCATGGCCAGCAGGTCG